AAAAGTAAATGTTTTACTGATTAGAAACATTACTATTGATTCAAATATTTGATATACACTTGAATGGTACGGTGAATTTTACTTTACACTAATGAGAATCTGAATCACTCTAAGAATTGAACTGGTTATCATTGAGAAATTGGGATTTTAATGATCCACTGATTGAATCATAATCTTTGATTGTCAATTGTTGATATTCAATTCATCTCATCGTAGTTCGGGTCATTTTAAAATCAATATTTTATTTGATCTAATTAGTAACTAATCAATGATATATCAAATATAATTCAGTACAAGTAAAGATGGATAGTGGTTAGCAGTGGAATCCATCGGAATCTACGAAACGCGCGTCCTGGATTCCACTGCTAGTTACTATCCATCTTTGCTTATAATGCTTATGAATTAAGACAATATCTAGGCAATACGCAAAGTATGCACATATGCCAGTAAGCGACTGATCAATTGTAATCCTAAACATCAATGGGAAGATTCAAGTAAACCATACCAAATGAATTTATAATTCAGTACGATTTCAGTTCTATTAAACAAAAAAGCTTTATGAGTTGACAAATCTATGTAAAGAATGAACGATTTCAAAAAGATTTAGAGATACAAAGAATGAGTAATTTTTCATGTTATTTAAGAAACTTGATTATAACAGACTCTTTTAAAACTTCTCCATTTCAAACGGTTTTCAAATAACAAGAACAGATTGAAAGGGTTATATTTGTCACCCAACCAATTATATATATATATATATATATATATATATATATATATATATATATATATATATATATATATATATATATATATATATATATATATATATATATATATATATATCAGACAATCATTTTCACCTTAATCAAAAACTTACTACTAATATACATGTTTATGATTGTCTATTATTATTTACTGAATGAACACCTAAATGATTTATTCATGTTAACATTTAAAACAACATGACTTCTCTTCTTTTTATATTCGACATTGATATTTTCTATTTCAAATAATGAACAATAGATATCAGTATTTTATATATTTTACTTAAATAGGACCTTAGTAATTATTCATTCAACTATTTAAAGAAAAAAACATTCTGTGTTTTCTTTACATTGAATTTCTTTACTAATAACCTTTATAATCATTCATTGTGTATTTCATAGAACTAAATACTTCTCTTAGTAACTAAGTTATTTCAGAATCATATTTAATAAATGTTATCTCATAAATTTTAAGCAATTTTTCTTCTCAATCTACATTCATTCCTTAATGTAGTTTATGAAAAAAACAACAACAAGAAAAATGAAATAGAAAAATATTCGTGGTAATATACTACTGTTAAATATATTATATAAAAATAAGTAGTGGTACATTAACACATATACATATCTAATCAATGCTGACATTTCACTATTTCATAAGAATTGTACATTATTCATTAAGGCATTAATTTATCACACTGTCAAATAAACTGAAAGATAAAGAGTTGGCTAGCTAGCTAGCAAGTAAACGGGAATGATAAAAATAAAGAGAAAGAGAAAGAATGATATTGAAAAACGAAATCGTTCTCACGGATTTTTCCGAAACTAAAATGTCCATTCAGATAATTTCTCCCGAAAAAATTAACAATATCATGTCCGAATAATTATTGAAATCAACAAGTGTGTACTTTGTAATTCATGTATGTGATATATGTACATATTAGTGTATAAGTTTGTATGTATATGTATAGATACATTTGTATAAAAAATTCACTTATCTCCAGTATACATGCAAACACCGCTTAACCGACAGTAAGATCTTATGCCTACTATTTTTGACATCTATTGATTCATTTTTCTTTAACTTTATGTGCAGATATATATATATATATATATATATATATCACTTTGTCTTGGTTAAAACACTCCTTTGATCCTAATGGTCGTGTAGTCATGTATTTAGTATTACGAAAGTTTTGCCACAGTAATCGGTACGAACGAAATAGTGTCATGATTAAAAGAAAATATGTTTGTGCACAAAAGGCACTAGTCTTACTTCTATATATATAAACGTATGGATGTGAGGGTATATCAGTACTTATATCAGAATCAAATACATATGTGTTCTAAAATTTGATGTGAATATGCATGTGTGTGGAGGTATTACCCATTCGACAATCAAAAAAGGTCAGCCGCTTATTACCATCACTTTGTCGATATATATGATAATATGTTGGCGTCTTAGTTTTAGTATAAATGTGCATAAAACCAACGTTTATATTTGTGTTTTTTACATGTACTGAGTGGAACATGCACCGTTGGCAAGGTAATATAACATTTTTTTTTAGAAAAGTAACGTAGTTATAGTTGATTAGTGTTCAAATCAATTTGATTTTAAACTGGCATGCCTAAGAAACTGTTGTACATCAAATTTTCTGGGCTATTTATTAAATTATCTTGACCACTTATGTGTATTTTTCAGGAGAGGGAGAGGAGGACGAATGGTTATAAATTTGTGTGTGTGAGTGTGCATGGTTGAGTGTGTGACATGTCAAATATCTACACCCTTAATATATTTTTTCATTCATATTTTGCAACGGCGGTATTTTGACATGACTTTCACTTAGACAGACAATCAATAAAGTATATTATCTTGAAGTTAATAATTGTGAATATTTAGCTTGCCGGTTAGTAGACACCATTATGATCATGTTTTTTAGTATTATTACCATAAAACATGGAAGATGGTTTAAATTTGTGTTGGTATGTGTAAAATAAATCTATTGTTCATGGTATTTAGTATGAATTATATATATATATATATATATATATATATATATATATATATATATATATAGTTTGTAAATTGATTTTGCTCCAGGGGAACTTGGACAACATAATTTCTTTTCATTTATTTATCATTTATATTGTTATTTGACTAAACCGATAGATTATTTTTTTTAAATGTACATTCAATGCTTTGATTGCTTAAGATAAAAAACAAATGTAATTCATACAATTGAACTGTGAAAAGTGAAGAAAAAACGTTTAGTTACGCTATGTTTTGATTCTCAATTGAGTCAGCTAAATATTGAAGAGAGAGAGAGAGAACGAGTGTGTATGTGTATGTGTGAGTGTATGTAGACTTACATGCATAGAACTAAGGTCAGAGCATGAAAACATAAACACAAACTTTGCAGGATCTTTTTGACATTTTTTTCTGATTTGATACTCGAAGAATAAATATCTATACATATATTATATGAGTTGTGACAAGTTCAACATTGAATATTGAAAGTATTCAACTCAAAATTGATCACTATGCTATATTTATGAATAGACAAACAACAACAACAACAATAATAATAATCATATTGACATACTCAATATTCATTTATTTTAATTATTTATAACATGATTTATACTTATGATTTGTAGTTTAATCAACAAATTAATTAAATTAATTCATAGTTTATACATAAAATTAAGGATAAGGATACATTCATATAAATGGAATTAATTTGATTTGTCTACGAATTGCTATACTATTGATTTAAACAATAAAAAAAATTTAGTTGAATGTCTAAGTAACTAAAGATGTACAACAAGTAAGGTTCTCTTTCCATATATATTAAGATATTGTCAGAGTATGTAAAGATTGAGTCAAGGTATTTTTTTTTTAACTCATTCATACAATTTACAAATATCTTATTGAATTCAATAAATTTATATGATCAAAAGAGTGATTTTTCTGATGTATTTGCATGGTATGAAGTTTATTTATAGCTACAATTACATTTCAGTCCTACAGGAGGTCGTTTGCGGCTCGGATAGCTCAGTGATAACGTCTCTGTCTGTGAAGCTGGGTGACACGAGATCGAATCCGCCAGGGAGCACCAGTTCCCTCAAGATTACAGGTACACCTTGGTGACGAGTACCAAGTAGCACGAAACCCAGCTCCAGGGTTTCCTGTTGACTACCTCCAACAAGCACCTAGTTTATTTATAGCATAAATTAACATCAGTTGAATAATTGTTATAAACCATGGAACACTGGACAACTAGTTGGTTTTCTTTACACACCATTCGTAATTCAATAGCATAATAGGGATTTAAATCATGATTGGAAGATCTGATAGAGAGTAAAATACTATTCAGTATAGAAATTCGTATTCAACGGATATTTCCAACTTTAATTTATGATATAGAGTAATTTACATGAACTTATTGATGGTCTTTATTTGAAGTTTGTAACTATAATTCTTGGATGTTCACTTCAACTGACTGTCTTGTGAACCGTACATAACGTTAATACCTTGTCATCGAATTTATGTAAATTAAGATATAATAGGTTGTAGAATTAGATAGATTATTCGCGTTTAACTATATATTCCTTCAAGTTTTTGTCAATTATTAAGTAATAGTGAGTTTAAATGAAGACAAGAAATCGGTTGATTAGGGTTTGAATTAGGATTAACTGAGGTATGAATACATAATCACTCACTACATTGTCAAGTGTTGTATAATGTGGAAGCAGATTTTAAAATAATTACAACTGGATCTAGAATGAAATTTAATTTAAGCTTATGAAGCCACTGAATATTGAACTATGATAGATTTCAAGACTGGAAATTGATTGTCATCTACAAGATGATCATAATTAATTCTTATGTAAAACTAATCAGTAAAACTTGACTACCATTGTAGATTAGACAATCTAACATTAGTTTCTTCACATTAATTGATTAATTTATATATTTGATCTAGATCAACAGTATTAAGTAGTGAAAAAGAAGTATGTCGACTAATGTAACTCAGTTGTCTTTATCAAATTCAATGAAATGAAAAGTTGAAATCAAAAGAGGAGAAAATCACTTTGTTTTAATCAATAAACCGTTTTATGTGAATAAATACTAAGTTGATCTTTGTTTTTAAGTTTATCATTTAGTTAATTCATTTTATTGTTTAGATAAATTGTCATTAAAGAGATTATTTGATTAATTTTCTTTTTCAGCATCTAGACAAACTGTAGGAAAAGCATTAAATGCTAAGCATCAAATTAAGAAGCAAACTGCATTAGTAAATCCAATTCAACATTTAGAATCTGAAGAACTAATTAAACAAAACTATCATCGTCAACATACAGAACAATTTAAAAATAAAGAATTAAAACCAAATACAAAACATATAAACACTGAACAACATTTAAATTTACATGAAACCTCTTCATCTATATCACTTACACAAACATCACAAACAACAACTATGTTAGATATTCAATCTAGCACAATTGATCAAGTTAATTGGACAAGAGATAATCACCATTCTCATATTAATCAACAACATCAACTAACAGAATCATCAACAGATTCAATAAAATCATCTAAATGTGTTATTGATTCTTCTTCATATTCATTAGATGAAACTGATGATTTATGTTATATAAATCAATCAAATGATCCTAAACGTACTCGTACAGCATATACACGTCAACAAATTTTAGAATTAGAAAAAGAATTTCATTATAATAAATATTTAACACGAAAAAGACGTCTTGAAATAGCTCATACTTTAACATTATCCGAAAGACAAATTAAAATATGGTTTCAAAATCGTCGAATGAAATGGAAAAAAGAACATCATTTACCAGGAATGAAACAACGATTGATTGAATCAAGGTCACCAAATGCACATTTTAATAAATTGCATAATAATGCCAATAGTATATCTATTATGAACACTACTAACAATGGTGGTAATAACAACAATATTCATCCTAGTTTAACTTTTCAAGCATCATCCTCTTCATCATCATCATTATTTTCTAATCGACTTCACTTAATGTCACAGGATTTAAAATCAGATAATTTATCTAATTGTCCAATTACTTCTAACGAAGATAACACTTCACTGATGCCACCTGATCAATGGTCATTAATGGTTTCAAGTAATTTACAAACTTATAGCAATTTAACAATTAATACACCTTATCATTCTTCTTTACCACCAACCCAACATCATCATCATCGTCATACAGATGGTAACTATAATCCAATCGGTAGAGATAGTCCAATTCTATCTGATTACACATCACCAGCATTGAATGTTGATCACTTACATATTCATTCAAATCATTTACATAATACACAAGATCATCACAATGATAATATTGGAAATTTATTTCAGGATAACAATAATGGTAATAGTAATATAGTGAATAATTTAAGATATCCTACTATACCAGTAAATGATATGCATTTATCAAAAGCAATTAGACAGAATTATTTATCGAATCCAGTAGAAATAGATGAACAACAAAGTATGTGTCTGACACGGAATTATAGTAATCACAGTGATTGTAGTAGTAGTATATGCAGTGGGCAAAATAGTAATTGTGGTAGTAACAGTACTGTTAATTGTAATAGTTATGGAAGAGAAGCAATTGTTTGAGAACATTATATACATATATATGTATATAATGTCAAATCATACCGCTTAGAAAAAAGTACTTATTTATAAAAATACATAATCATCGATATATACTGAACATTTGTACATATATACATTGAACATTGAACATATATTTGGTTGTTTATTTGAATTGTGAACTTTCAGTGAATACTTCTCATCATCTACTTTGTTATTTAATATTGTTATAGAGAAAAATCTTCGTATAAATTACATTCCATGTGATGAGAACAAATAAACAATATGAAGAAATTTTTATTAAAACAACACATCTTACTACCACTATTGCAACTACTACAACAACTACTACTAATATTAATAGTGATGTCAACAATTTGAATAGATCATTATCAATATATATTACTGAAATAAATTATGACTGTTCACAATTACTTCTAATGATAGATAAGTGACATAATACTCAAAAGGAAGTGTATTCATAGTTTGACACAAGTTATCTCATTCAGATTTTCTTTCTTTCTCCTTTCTTTAGTTGTTGCTATTGTTTTTGTTATGATGAATTGGTTTTCAACTAATTTCACATTGTAACAATGTCCAAATACAATCAGTAAAGACTTAAGGTATATTTATGCAAGAATGGTTTGCATAACTTTACTAAACTCTTTATCATTTCTTAACATTATGTATAACAATACAATATTACATGGGATTAATGATGAATGAATAAAATATTAAATTCTCCGCCGTTTTATTTCTTATAAAAAATCGGTAAAATTGAAAATTAAGCTAAATGATAAAAATCGTTTTATTTCAAAAAGAAAAACGGTTGAAGAAGAGAAAGTATTTGACGCCGAAAACAAAATGAACAAATCAATCACATAACCTTCTCGTTTCTTTCTTTTTAAAAAATTATTATTATTATTATTAATATCCAATGAAAAATTCTGTGTTAATTATGATAAATTGTGAATAAAGTACTTTTTTCCGAAAACGAAAACAAAACAATGCTATTGTGTTTTATTATTTCTGTTAATGATTATCGAACACCGATTACCACGACGTGCAATGCTAACCGGTGTTGGAGATGGTTGGGAGAAGGTTAGAGGCGGTCAAACCAAAACCTGGCATCAGTGCTTGAAGTCACTAACTTCTAGTCTGAGCCATGTTGGTAGATGCAGACTACTTGGTTGGGGTCCGCGTGACTATCGTAATCGATGGTTGGAGACTCTTGGTGACATGGCTCAGAATCGGTCACAATGGCGTCGGTGTATACACTCTCTGTCTTCTCTTAAACTAAGAGATTAAAATTGCTTCATATCTTCCTTTCTACGAACTAATTCTTTCTTCCTGTACTGTATCCTTATATGCAATCTTTCTCCTATATATTACCACCTTTGACCTAACCACTACTATGAATCCAGTGTTCATCTTGCTGTGCTAATGAGGTATGGCAACCTGAACCGATGCATATATGTGCCTGGTCCTACGTTGTAGCTGACTGACTGACTGACTGACTGTTAATGATAATGGTTGTCTAAGTTAATTAAATTCATAATGTAGACTAAAAACTCAACAGTTACCACGAATATATAATACTGGTGATTATCATATACTGACTAGTGACTAGTTTTTTTAACGTTAATTCCTAGAGTTATCGTATGAAGCCATCACTAGTAGAGTTCAACCATGTCAGGTGTGAATTGAGAGGGGAATTATTACGTATCGACTGAAATTATAAGCGTAACTCAGTGGTCTAAAGGTTAAGTCTCTGCTTCAACATTTGAAGATTCTGGGGTCAATTTCCGATGTTAGAGTCATGGATGTGTACTAGTGAGGAGTATTATGCTAAGACGAAATAGTTTTACACTGTTTTCGGGTTTTAAGTGATTGTATAATTCAGTTTACTACATCATGCAAACTAGAGTGAAGAAAAAATTCTTCCAGTTGCTTAAGATTATTCACATTGTAAGCTCTTTAATTTTTTAAGTATATTTGTCGACATAAGGCAAGGTGATTAGAGAGAGCATTCATGGTTATGATAGGCATAATAGAATGTAGACATTTCAAATTCTAGTTATTAAATTATAGAGTAAACTATACTTAAAATAACGATAGGATTTAGCTAAATTAACATTATAAAGGTGAAAGATTTTACAAAAAAATACAGGAAAATTCAGTTTTACTCGTAATATTACTTCTGTAATTAAACATATTGGGAGCATGGCATTCTAATTCTGTATCACAGATTGCCTTAGTAAATATTATAAGCTTCAATAATCTGAGAGAGCATCATTCCTTACAGAAGGTTATAAACTTGTCTTAATGATGACTACCAGCTACAAATGAACTATATATATAAATATAGTCAAGCGTTAAGTATATTACCAGACAATCTGTGTAGCAACAGGATAGAATGACTTTATCATATATAAACGAACGATATATTCATTATTGAATAATCATTGAGTAGTAACTAATATCATTCTTGTTTATCCTTTTTATGTTTATCAAATTCTGTTTATGATGTTACAATCTAATAATCAGTCTAGGTGGATTAACGTAGCATGCAATATATGTAGATGTTAGACGACTGACAATAATCCGCAGGGAGCCTTGAACACAGGTTTTGTACTAGGCAGCACTCATCAACAAGATATACTCTTAGTTTTGAAGGAGCTGATGTTTTTTATGGGACTTGAACATATGTTATTCAGCTTCATAGTCCTACGTTTATCTGATGCATAGTACTTTAAAATGATAGAATGTTTCATTCGTACAGGATTTCATTCTCAGCCTAAGCATATCTGCGACTGTGATACTAAATAATTCTAATTTGAATCGGACAAGGAGCTTCAGTTTTCACAAGATTTCAAATATACGTTGATTATGAGGAGTATCTAACAGGAAATCTATAATATGGCGGCAGTGCTTGACCCTTATATTCATGACTTGAATCCATTGATTTGATATTTAATAATCACTTATGTTTTAAATGAAAATCAACCATATTTACTTTGTATATAAACATTTTATTATATATGACGATTTATTTTAACTAAGGCAGTATTTCTGTCCTTTGATATCCGTGCAATGAAGGTATATTAAAACAAGAAATTCAATTTTTGTGAATAATCATCATTCTGTCACAATACCATACATTAACTTTTAATCTATCATAGCTATTTAGGTCTTGAATCTCCTGATGATCGGATCTAATAATCTAAAAATCAAACAAAATAAATTTCCTTCATTTTATTTCAACGATCAAGTTTAACCAGTGCATGTACTGAATTCATATTAAATTCATTTGATAATTCATCAAGCATGATGAATTATATCATTATCTATTTGGTAGTAAAAGACTACAAGATCTACGAAGTTAACTGAAATGAAAAATATATACAATTAAATTCTGTACCATTGATTCAGTATTTTAATACTCTTTGTAAGATTTGAAAATTCTGACCACTGTCCCAATGTGAAGTCATAAATACATAGTAGCGAAGAGTTCTTACATACATATGAGACAGCTGTCTAATCTTTATCAACTATCGAAATTGGAGTCAGTTCATCATTTTTAAAAAAACGTTAAAAATATATATAAGTCTTTATAAAATCATTTCTTTTTATGATTTTACCAATGATATTTCGTCAAACTTATTTATTCATTTGTAGAAGAAGGAAACACTATGTAAGCACTAAATCAATTTATAGTTTTTTAAATCACGGACTGATCTTAGCCGGACCATTACTGAAAACCAGGGAGCATTGAACCATTGTTTCATCTGAAAATAGTGCTCTTGAATAGCGCAGGTTCCTAGGTGAGACCGAAGATCCTGGGTTCGATTCCCTGCTTCGGTCTGGGCACCCGGGCAGTATCACAGCTCACACACAAATGATGAACTGTCTATTCCCTATGGTTGAATAGTGGATGTATGTTGTCTAATGCTTCCCATTTTTCAGCGATGATCTAGTTACGACCACTTCGTGATTTGAAAACTATGAAAATTCTATCATCTCCACAAAACCCTATACCCATAATAAATGTTTTTATCTATTAACTCTGTTTGCTAAAATACATGAAAACTAAATAGTTATTTACAATCAACTGTTTATTTGGACTTTATTTATGTTTGTAGGAATATTTCTCTCCCTCTCTTTCTAAATAACAAATCTAAAACACGTGTTTTCAACAATCTTTCATTTGTATATACACATGCGGTATAAGTGTGTAATGACAGAAAACATGTATAATGACATTTTTTGCGTGTATATAATGTTCATTCACTGATTGCATAATATTACAACGTTTATGTCCCCCTTTATTTCTTTTTGGTTATTGTTAATGAAACACTGGTACATTGTAAAGTAGATAATTTAGTTATAATTTTCAACATGAATGAAAGACAAACTATGATTATCTATCAGTATAGTGGTTGTGGAGATTGTTAAGTTTTTGATTGAGATCATGAACCGATTGATGTTAGACCACCATTGAAACCTGGAAGCACTGGATGGCCGTTTCGTCCTATTGTGGGACTCCTCAGCAGTGCGCATCCACGATCCCGCTCGCGGGATTCGAACCCAGGGCCTTCAGTCTCGCATGCGAACACTTAACCTACTGAACCACTGAGCCGGCATCCAATGGTGTTAATGTCTAACCTCAACCAATCCACGAAATTGATTATCTATGTTTATTCCTCTCTTTTGTTTGGTTTTAAATTTAAAAGATAGAGAAGAGAGTAAAATGTAATCATTAATTGGTTTAGTTTAAAGTTGATGGCTGAAATGTATTAGGATACAGAGCAGTAAACTGATTTACGAATTATAATTAGTTTATTCAATATCATGATAGAATACTAATGTGAGATTGAAATGAATAGTGCTACTCCTGTAATTGTTACCTGGCCTAAAATAATGAACTCTTCAGAATATCAAGTAGTATTAATCATCCATAAGACGATAACATTTTGTTATAAACAACTAAGATAAAAACAAGTTTATTCTAACAAAATCAAACAGAGTATGTGAGTGGATATAATAGGGACCATTATATTTCAAAGATAGATAACTATAGTTTACAATCATTAAGTTAACAGGAGTCTCATTCATACTTATGATCATGTAACTTCAGTCTGGGTTACGTAGAAAAGCTTTATTGGGCCATAACAAAACAATGAGTTCCCTTTATCCTCCCGTTATGATGAGCGATTTTTTGAAATGCTTCCATCAAAAACACTGTGAAAAGAAAGTATTCTCATATCACGGTAACTTGTATGAGAGGAGATAATTATTTGATTCGATGATGAGTACATACTATATCGCTTAATTAGAAAAAATTTCGGTAATTGTTATTAAAGTTGGGAGGTGGCAAGCAGAGGAATCCAGATTTCGTGTTTCATTGAATGCAAGACTCATCAGTTGGGTGCAAACATAGTTAGCATGGTATCCGTTGATCTACTGGATTTAAATAAATACTATCTTATTTAACATTGTGTAACGTGTTGGTGTTTAAAAGCGATTAGTACTGGATTTAATCGTCCATGGGAATATCAACACGAGTGTGCAAATATATCCAACTGATAAGTCTCAAATAGAGTGGAACTTAAGTTTTTAACTAATTCTTTATAAAAATTTGCAATAAACTAGCGATATTAAGAAGATCAAGAAAGGTTGTACATGTGTCAGTAGAGAGGGGTCAATTTCAGTCCTTCACATAAACAAGGGGAAAATACAACCGTTTACAAATAACTCTACCTTTTTTAACAATCTAATCATGAACTAAGTAAAAAGGTTTCAATCAGAGTGTAAATGAAATTCATTGGACTTTTATATTTTAAAAAAAATCTATTAAGTTTTAACTTTACAATTCATGTTTGAAAAGATGTCATTGTAACTATTAGGTTATTGTGATTACCCTATTGAATAAAAACATTTTCAAAGATAATGTTCTTTTACAAGTGAATATTTCAGTTAAACTACTTCAAAAATGACCT